GACCTCCGTCGCAATACAACGGTCCTTCTGACCTATGTCGCTCACAGGCTACGATCCTTCCGGCCTCCGTCACCCGCCGAATATGGTTCTTCCGATCTACATCACTCGTCGACTATGGTTTTGCCATCCCAAACAAACATATCAACATTGATTCTTCCAACTTCTACCATGCAATGCATTTTATATGATGTATATTTGTTACTTCGAGCCAAGGCCTTCCTCCTAAGGATGGGCCTCATTTGTAATCAATTGCAAGCATTAGTGGATTCATTCAAACTGGGCCAGGCCCCGTGGTTTTTCCCCCTTTTTAGTGGTTTCCACGTAAAAAATCTGGTATCTCTTATGAACTTTACACAATCTCTTTCATCTGTCTGTGTGCTGGATCTTCGTCCAAAGCTAAGGCATTAATCTTTATATTTCTCTACCGCCGCGAATTTTCAGGACGCAACAATTGTAAATAAGAAGGGGTATACTACTGCAGCGCAACCCTTTGTTGTTTGTGGTTCACTGCTGATTTCTTCCAAATATAAAAGTTAAGGAAAATCCAAGCTAAATGAAAGAATAGAATGAGAGGAATTTTTTACTAACATTTCCCACGGTGGCCTGTATGCATATCATCGCCTCCACGCTGAGAAGCTTCACCATGATCTCCATGCCGGCAGTTGCCTGCAGCCATTGATCAGTTTAAGGTCCCGCCTTGCTCTCCTCCTTGATCGACTCGATCTGAAACTGCAGCCCCTCTTCGTCGCTCTCCAGTGCTTGTAGCTTCAATCTTAACTCGTTGATATATGAAATGGCATTACCGAGGAGCGAAGCCTTTTCCATCTTTGAGATGTTGGAGACAATGGCGTACCTCGTGTAGAACTTATAGTTAAGTTTCCCATGCCGCATCTGCTCCGCCTCCAAATGGTAATGCCGTGGAGGGCAGACCAGTGGTGAGCTCACTGGTTCGCAGTTCGCACACGAGAGGGAGAAGGAGCGGGGCCGCCGGGTTGCTGTGAGTGCTGACGGAGGAGGAACAGAGGATTTATATTATAATAAAAAAGTGAAAAAAGCTATAGGGAATACGAAAGGGCATACAAAATACGAAATGATGCCATCGATTCTATAGTGCCACATGTACGATCAGAATTTAATTTATTAATACTTATAAGCGTTAATTAATAGGATGTCGGAATACAAATGTATTTAATCAATATGAAATAAGACTAAAAATTATTAAAAAATTTAAATGATTTCTTAATTTATTTAGGGGATACGATTATACGAAGAGAGGGCTATTTAATCAATATGAAGAAGCGTAAGAGACACGGGGAATATAAATGAGTATTTAATTAATATAAAAGAAGATTAAGAAGCACTAGATAATTTAAATAATTTTTTCATTTATTTAGGAGATACGAAAAGTAGAATAAAGAGATATTTAATATTTATTCAATATGAAGAAAGACTACGAAGCTAAGAAGCATCAGATAGATTAAGGCTTCGTTTGGGACAGTTTTTTTACTACTTTTTAAAACGGAATTTTAGTACAAAATTTTTTATTTTTGTATTAAAATTTTATTTTAGAAAGCAATAAAAAAGCCGTGTACTCAGTAACTAGTCATGATAGATTAAAAAATACTTATTTTAAATCTCACAAATGCATTCTTCACAATCAAATCAAAACCATGATATAATAATTGTAAAAAAGAAAGACTAAGACTCTCAATTCTCTCATTTATGCTATTCTTCAACTCTCTCTAACAAGAACAATTCCATAACTTGGACCAAATCAGCATTGACAATGTGAATTTGGCCTATCACTGCAGGAAAACTTATCAAAGACATGCACTCATACAGAAACATTCTTCAAGATACACAAATAATATCAGAAAGCAGCAAATCACTGCAGAAAGCATTCCATCGGATTGATCAATAAAGCAATTTTCAGTAAATATACACATTCATGGCTATGGAAAGAATGAGAGGTGAGAGGGATGTGAAGATTTGCTAAGCCCAGCGATCTCAAGAACAACAAGAAGATGAACTTGTAGTCCTGTTAGCTGCTCTGTCCGTTAAGATCATTCCATTGGTGTTCTGCTGTTGTTGAGCTTGAGCCTGGAGAAACCTTTTAGCTGAAAAAATGAAACAAAGTAATAATCTTATGAGCATGATTTTTCCCTTAAGATGATAAAGGCTCCGTTTGGGATGGCTTTCTCACTGCTTCTTTAAGCGGCTTTCTAGTACAAAAAAAACAAAGAAAACGGCTTTAAAAAGTAATAAGAAAGATGTCCCAAACGAAGCCAAAGTCTGGATAATATTACGTTGCCTGAAGTTTTTGAAAGATAATAGATGTAAGATAACATAAAGAGAAAATGATGATGAGGAAAAAACTAATAAAGTAAATGGACAAAAACAACACAGTTTAAGAACCTAAACACGATTATTTGTAAAAATTGTGGTAAAATTAAAATTTTCGAAGGCTACTATGAATATTATATATTTTTTCTTTTTGAGAAAAAAATATATAATATTTTCTTATAAGTATCATACTCTAAAAAATCTGGGCGTAAAAAATTCTTCTCAACAACTACAACAACAAACTTTTATCACACTGTGGGGTCGGCAACATGAATCATTTTTCTCCATTGTGTCCTGTTAAAGGTCAAATTCTCATTTAAATTTAATAAAGATCATTTCTAATATTCTCTAACCAAATCTTTTTAGGTCTACCTCTACCTTTCTTAATATAAGTCAAATCTAATACACCTACTTTCCATATCAGGTCATTGGAAGGCTGCCGTTTTATGTGACCAAACAATCTAAGGCGACTCTCTCTAATCTTATCTTCCACCGGAGCTACTCCAACTTTTCACGTATATGCTCATTTCGCATCCTGCCTTTAAGAGTAAAGCCACTCATCCACCTGAGCATCCTCATCTCTGCAACGCTTAACTTAATACTATGCTTCTCTTTTAATGACCAACATTCTACACCACAAAGCATTGGTCTCACTACCATCTTATAGAATTTATGAACATATTTAATGACCAACATTCTTATAGAATTCTTCTCATTAAACAAAATTTATGAATAGTAATAAAAAATCATAATCAAATAAAAATGGGTAATAATCTGAGAAGCAAAATAATAAAAAAAACTATACCAAACTGACTCTTAATAAATGTTGCTATTCACTAAGAATTGCATATCACGGACAGTTTATCAGCAATAAGATTACCAATAGTATTTCAGGGTTGGATGATTCTTGCAAGAGAGAAGCAACCTAAAACTATGCAGTAAAATTTTCAAATTAATTCTATAATACTCGAGACTTCTGAAACTTTGAAACTATCAACTGATTAACACCAATTTGAAATGCTTAAATAAAATGGGGATCAGCTTCAACTACTTATGTGTATCGGACTTGATTTAGGGTGTGTTCTGAATAAAACTAAGCAAATAAGACATGATGGGCAGCTAAACTGATCAGATCTACTTGGTTCAGATTCTGTCTAGATTATGGGTATAAGCATGCATACAATCACATTAATAATCCGCAAAGTTATGAACATATGCATAAACTTATGTAATTCAATTATGTATGCATACATATGAGTATGGATTAAAATATAAACTAGATTGTGAAAGATTTGTTTACTTCTGTGCTTTTTTTGGTTCTTCCAATTTTATAGATTGAATGAATAATATTAAGCTAATGATACGCGCGCGGGGGGCTGGGGGGCGGGGCGGGGGGCACCTTTTGGGGCCCAGGAGAAGATATTTAGAAGGTTTCTAATCAAGGGGATTTGTTTAGGAAGGTTCCTAATTAAGGGGGAATTGTTTATAAATGTTTCCTAATTATATTTATATTATTTAGAAAGGTTTCTTAAATCATGTTTAATTATTTAGAAAGGTTTGATAAATTATGTTTATGCTATTTAATAAGTATGTAATTGTTTAAGAAATTTTCCTAAATCATGTTTAATTGTTTAGGAAGGTTTCCTAAATTATATTTATATTATTTAGCGAGTATATAATTATTTAGGAAGGTTTTCTGAATTATGTTTAATTGTTTAGGAATGTTCCTAAATTACGTTTGATTGTTTATGAATGTTCTGTTTTTGTTGTGATGGTTATGGCTATTTAAGGGGGAGTTTTCTAGGGTTTAGATCATGCTATTAATGAGCTTTGTGACTGTTTGCTGTCCATTGTTTTTTTTATGGATTTTAACGGTGTCTAGAATTTGAGAGAGAAAGTCCTCTCGAAAGAAGACCACTGTATCTTGCTTGTCCGTATTTTTTTTCTTATCAATAAAAATTTGTTGTTTGCTGAAATTTACAGCTTATTCGTGAGTTTTTGATATTAAGGAGAATCAGTAAATTACACTAACGAATTAGCCAATTTCTGAAATTCTAGCTAGGCATATTAGGTTTAATATGTAATATAACATATAAGAACAGGAAAGTAAGTGTAATTTCTAAAAACAGCTTAAGACTAACATGTAGTGTAATATGTATAATGCCAGAAAACACAAAACAGATGTGTAACACTCACTATCTACAGGAATAGTGACAGTTTAGACCAATAATATTAACTGAGTTTCATGCCAAACTTGACACTGATATGTAAAGAGGGTCAAGCATAATATAGTTCGTTCAAAGAAGTTGACAGTTTAGACCAACTACAACAAATCCCAAGGTTGAATTTTTTTTGATAAAATTCAAAGTTTTATCTGTTTTGTCCTAATTGTCGTTGACACATAAAAAAGCTTCTGAAATGCAAAAAATGCTGAAGCGTTTTGGTGGCAAATCTTCAAGTGATTTAGCAGATGGATAGAATTAGAAATTTAAGCATGTTGTTGGTAATTTCTCAATAAAACCGGTACTAAATTGCAATAAGAGTACTAAAGGAGAAAGCTTCCCTCAGTCGGCCACCATCTATAGGTGGGATTCCAAGTCATCTTACCTGGTATTACAGTAAACAATGGCAAACAAATGGCATGCAACATGTGCATTCATTCAACAATTGATTGGCCAATATCAAATACAACCAACAACTCTAATAATACTCTAAATCGTAACAGGCTCACCAATTTCATAGAATACATCATTGACATTTATTGCTGTTTTTGCAGAGGTTTCCATGAAGAAAAGGCCGTTTTCCTGAGCATAGGCTTGGGCTTCCTGGGAACAGCAAGTGAAAAACATTGTAAATTTAGTTATACATTGCCATGCTGGCCCAAAAACCAAACAATGACATGGAAATAAGGAAATAAAAGCAGATTGACATATAAATAATAAAGCAAAATAGGCGGATTTAGATCCATCCATGGGAATGGAATTTGAAGTTGAGAACAGTTAAGATTGTAAATTGATTGAACATGAATGAGTGTTGCTTCGTTCAACTGAGTCTGTTAGCTATTGAACTAGAACCGAACAAGATTAAGTCTATTATTGAGCTGAAAATCTGTATTTTGTTCCGTATTACAATACAAATTATAACGCAAAAATAAGCCAAATCGATAATTAGCAATTGCATGATGAGCTTCTTGATTGATGATTCTGATTGCAGGGAAAAAAGTGTGATTTTATATGGAACAAAATTATTTCAGTATCATAAAATTTAAATCAATTTTTGTTCAAAATTTTAAAGTACATTGATGATTTTTAGTAAATACATAAATATAAAGGGCTTAATGTACTTAAACATAAGCACTTATATAGCCATGCATAATTGAGTTAATCCTTATTTGTGTTTGTCTCGTTTAGCAAATGAGTTGAAAATTTTGCTCAAATTCAACTCGCTCGTTTATCAAATAGGCCAAACATGAAAAGCCACCAAGCCAAAAATAAGCTCATGAAATTTTTTTAACGCCCTTCATGCATAATAGTAGCTTTAACTTTCTCATTGCAAACAATATTAAGCGTTCAATCAATGATTGCAATAATTATATAGGTGATGGCCATCAGGCAATGGCCAGGCCTAGATGAGGAGGGCAAGACAACTACCATAAAACTTAGGGAATGAGCTCAAGCAGAACGTCCATAGATGTGAATCTTGGGGGAAGTAGCAATATTTAAATGAGAGCTTTAAAGGCGGAAGGGGAACGACACTTGCACAGTTAAATCTCAATCACTAGATGCTTTTTTTCAATCTTAGATTTGCTGTAAAATTTTAATTTTGAATGATTTTCAAATCATCATTTGGGGAAAATTCTACATTTTTTTTATTTTCATCTAAACAGACAAATTTTTCGCTTAGTATTAAAATTGGATCTTCAGTGTACTTGCTTTGTTCGCCCCGTCCTAGAATTAAATTAAGAAAACCCGAGATTTTAAGATATCCTCCAAAGTAGATAGTCCTCAATCAGTGGTATCAATTAATAAAAATCCAAGGCTAAAGTTTTAAAGTCAAAGTGGTATAACTTAGAATACATTTCATGATTTCAATAAGCAGATAACATGTTGAGCGATTATTTAGTACAATTAAAATACAAGGCGTCAAAACTTTTAATGATTATAATAGATCGTGTAAAATAAAGCAATTTACTCATCAAGAAGTCTGCTATTCCTCATAATAAAACATTAATCTAATTTTATTTCTAATTTAATTTAGAAAATGACGGTGCAAAAATGGCCTTTGTTGTAGGATCATGGTACCCACAAACTAATCAATTATGGCAGGGAGTTATGGATTCATGAGCATGCGAATTAAGGGTTCTAACCATAATTCTCTTATAGCTCTTAGATTGGAATATGTGCGTCTCACCTACCTATTATAGCCATCACACCCTTTTAGATATTTTTTTCCATTATAAATAGTTTTGATTTATTTATATTGTAATCTTTTTTGGGGAAGTCTATAAATACTTTCACACTTTGTACAAAATCAAGCAATAAATTCAAAGTATATTTTCTACTTTTCTACTTTCATAAATGATATCAAAGAGAGATTATGGTTTGATCTTGCAATCTTTATTTTTTATTTCTCATTTCTTATTGAGATTCGCCATTCTCTTCATTATGACTGGTTTCTTTGACTTTCATTCCAAAGAATCAACTATTATGAATAACAAAAACTAAACTGGAAGAGAACTCTAGGAACTTGAACTACATGCCATATATTGCTAGAATGAGAGAAATTATCTAAAATAGTCTTAAATGTAAAGACATTTCTACAAGAAAAGAGAAATAGCCCTTAGATTGGAATCTATGTGTCTCCTCTACCTATTATAGCCATCACACCCTTTTAGAGATTTTTTTCCTTCTTTTGTAAATAGTTTTGAATTTAATTATATTGTAAGCTTTTTGATGAAGTCTATAAATACTTTCACACTATGTACAAAATCAAGCAATAAATTCAAAGTATTTTTTCTACTTTTCTAACATTATAAATGGTATCGGTGTGAGATTAAGGTTTTCATCTTTCAATCTTTATTTTTTTCTTTCTCATCTCGTATTGAGATTCGTCATTCTATTCCTTGTGGTTGGTTTCTTTGATTTTGTTTCCAAGAAGTCAACTATTATGAATAATAAAAATCAAACTGAAAGAGAATTCTAGAAACTACAAGCCTCATATTGCCATAACGAGAGAAATTATCTAAAATAGTCTTAAATGTAAAGACTTTTCTACAAGAAAAGAGAAAAATTCATCATCTTGTGGATTCTCCTTTAGAGTCGAAAGACCAAATTGAGATAAAGTAAATTTCTTGATTATGACATGATTGTGTGATTTTATGATGCCTGAATTTAGTGGATCATATATATTTCTCTCTACAGTTAAAAAAAGTTTGGGATGTTGTCAAACAAACATATTCAAAAGTAAATGATTTTGCTTTCATTTAAAAAATAAAATCTAAAATTTTAACAACCAAGCAAGATAACCTACCTATTATTATGTACTTTAATGCAATGAATATCTATTGGCTTGAACTAAATTATTACCAAGATCTCAAGATAACATACTACGGTTATATGGATAAAACCTAAAATGAGATTTTTTTCTCTCATACAAGCCAAAAAAGGAAGAAGAACGGCGATGCCTGATGCTTTAGTTATTGAAATATCTACCATGAAAATCAGCTAACTCCATAGAATGGGATACCCTTCTTAAATAAGAACAAAAACCTTCTCCCAAAAGCAATATATGATGTAACTACACACGAAGAAATAACACATCAAAGAAAAATCCTAAAAACTCTACATAAAGGCCTCAAGCTATGGCGGAAATAAATAAGGTCAACAAAAAGGGGCCTTGTGAAATCAAAAGAGCTTAATCCAAAAGAAATTGATAAACTTAAGAACTTCCTCAACGACTTGGAAAAATCATCCGGATAATGCTCTTTAGCTCAAAATAATGACTTTTAACTCTTGCATTTTCAATGCCTTGGATAATTTCCCTTACACCATGATTAGATTTAGGAGCCACTAATTATATGACCAACCTTGCTAATCTTTCTCAAATCTACGAATTCTGTCCAAGTAATAAAAAAATGATTGATCGTTCTTTAACGATTGTTGCGTGTAAAGAAAAAAATCTCAATTTTCTCCACATTTACCATTAGTAATGCACTTGAATTCGCCATCTTGTAATAAATCTTCTACCAATCCATAAAATTACTAAAGACTACAACTGCGTCCTTTATGCTAATCATTGCTTCTTCCAAGAACTCACAACATGAAAGACAATTGGAAAAGCTCAAGAAAAGGATGGGGTATATCTTTCTTGAAGACGAAAATGACTTGTCATACTCCTTTATTTTCACTATCAATATAATATCGTTTGGGAACACCATTATAAGCTAGGAAATCGGTATTTTAAAACTCCAAAATGTATGTTTCTTTCTCTTTAATTAAGTACAACAACAACAACATCAAATCTTTATCCCACTAAGTGGGGTCGGCTACATGAATCCTTTTTCGCCATTGTGTCCGGTTAAAAGTCAAATTCTCAATTAAATCTAATAAAGAAAGATCATTTCTAATATTTTCTAACCAAGTTTTTTTAGGTCTACCTCTACCTTTCTCAACAAAAGTAAAATCTAATACCTCAAATTTCTCTTTTATTAAGTATAAACATAAAAAAATTTTCATTGTGAGATTTGTGAAAGTATCAAACATCATCATTTTTTTTTCTAAAAGTAACTCTAGATTCTCTATTCATTTTCTAAATATTTACTATGACATTTAGGGGCCTTCCAAAACCCAATATTTATGAATATATATGATGTCACTTTCATCGATAATTACACTCAAATGGCATGAGTATATCTCATCAAACAAAATTTTATGTCAGCATTATTATCCCCTTTTTTTCATGAGACAACAATAATTTAATACTGGCATCAAGGTGCTTTAAACTGATAATGCTTGTGATTACTTTCATCACACATTATCATCTTTCTTCCAAAAATAATACATCATCCACCAATTCTCCTATTATTGCACTCTCCAATAAAATGAAGTGATTGAAAGAAAAATATATCTTTTGAAAGCCAGTTGGACTCTTCTCTTACATAATCAAGTGCCAAAAAGATACTAGGGAGGGAGAAGCGATCCTAGTTGTCATATACCTAAATAGTAGAATATCCTCAATAATGATTTGCTTCAAAAATATCATTAATTATCTAGCTGAATTCTTCCGCACAAATAAATTCCTAGCAAAAAGTTCTCCCAAAAAATCTATAGTTGCATTGCTTATGTCTACATTTATAAACAACATAGGAGTCAACTTGATCCTAGAGCTCTCAAATGTGTTTTTTTGGGTATTCCTCTACTCAAAAAAGATATTAGTGTTATCATCCTACCACTGTAAAAATTTCTAGCATCAAAAGAAGTCGTTTTTTAAGAGAAGCTTTTTTTTTTTAATCAAACTTTACATTCAACTTAAGAACTATGAACTAGAAAATAAATTAGTTGAAGCATCAATATTTAATCTTAATATTTCTACAATACAAACTCTAAAAAATTATGGCACTGTACCCCTTCAGGACTATACAAGAAGGAATAAGCATTGTCAAAATTTCCAGCAAGCTCAAGTTTTGAAAGAGTTATCATGTAACGTGATCAACTCATTACTACACATTCTCATCTACACCCATCTCCCAATACGCATCTTGCCATAATTTCTCCTACTCATAAAACCTTCCTAGTAAAAATCATCTTTAAATCCATTACAATACCACAAACACTATTTGAGGCATTTGAAAATAAGAATTAAAAGTATGCCATGAGAGAATAGATAAATGCTCCGGAAAAAATAACACTTTGACGATCGTTAGATTACTAAAAGGGAATAAAATGATAGGATGCAAATTCAGTGCAAGCATGTGGAAGTGGGATAGGCATTTCAAAAAAAGAAAAATTAGAAAGTGGGTTGATCTGTACTCGATATGTGCCAATAATAAATCAATTTGCATACATTCTCACCAAAGGACTTTACAATCCCACTTTAAAAAATATTTATATCATTCAGTTTGGGGAGAACATTGAAGGACCATGGGACCCACATGTCAACCAATCTTGATAGGAATTTTGGAACACACGAATTAAGGGTTATAATCATTAGAACAATCCTCTTATAGTCTCCTCTACCTATTCTATCCACGACCACTATTGAGAATATTTTTTCTAGGGGTATCAATAAATGACCCGACTCGCCAACCTAACCCGGACCCGACCTGAAAAATTCAAGTTTAGGTTGAAAGTTTAATAAACAAGTCAGGTTTGGGTCCGACATTCTAGCTCGTTTTTAAAAACGAATGGGTTCGAGTTTACCCGCATATCTGATTTTGACCCCAAAATGACCCGTTTAATATTTTCCCTTAAATTCTTTTATTTGTCGATAAAATCTTCTTCTTTTTCAATTAATCTAAAATGTATGGCTAATAAGTTAATAAAAATATTTTCTAAATAAAAGGGATTAGCGGGTCGGATTCGGATTGCAGCGGTCGGGTTCAAGTCCATCTTTTTCATTCATTTGTAAAACGGGTCGGGTTTGGGACCGAATTCGGTCAGGTCAATTGTAGGTTGGGCAAAACCCGACCCGTTAACCTGTTTAGACGGCCCGGGTTTTTTGCCTTCTTTTGTAAATAACATTATTTATTTTTATTTTAAGCCTTTCTGAAAAGTTGATAAATACTTTTCTACAGCCTTCAATATCAATCTCAGAAATTTCAAACATAAGGATCATACTTGCTGTTATTTTCAAATTTAAATAAAAACTGCTTAATCATCACACATTTTTTCACAAAGGATCAAGTAATTTTATTAATGGCTTCATTTCTAATGAGAGGGATTCAATGATAGTGATGTAGGCAAAAGGGGGGTCAAAACATTTTGAATTATAAATTTGGTGAGCTTCTAGATCCTCTACTAGAATCAGCTCATCTTTCTTACCTATAAATAGGAGTTGTTTGTGGCTGTTTTAGCAAGTTTATGATGTGATTTTTGGAGATAAAACCTGCGGGTTTGTTGTTTGGAAAAGCTTGCGAGCTTTGTCCAAATTCCCTCTTTCCTTCTCTCTTTGAGAAAGCTTACGAGCTTGTCTCCACTTCGTCTTGGCTTCTAACCTCTTTCGTATCTCCGCAAGTTCGACGCCACCTGTATCCTTCTTCTCAAAGAAATTCAACTTTAGGTGTTTGTCTTGTTTGAGTCATTTGTAAGTGTCTAAGTTTGTAAGTCTTTTATATTATGAAGAAAAGTTGTTGTTTTTAATTTATTCATCAATTTTGTGTCATTTTGTGTCTTTTCAATTACTTAGAAAATGTTTTCTTTTTGTGATAAAAATATTGGGGCCCTCTCCCAAATTTTTGATTGCATTAATTTGGTATCAGAGTAAGTTAGGAAGTCCTAAGTTTTTAAGTAAGTCAAAGTCTTGTTGTGTGAGTCGTGTGTGTCTTGATGTCATGTTAGTTATCATGTAAGTTTTGTTTTGAGTCATGTTGTCATTTGAGTCTTGGTGTCAAGTTAGCAATCTCAATCCTTGGTGTCTCTTGATGCAACGCCTTCAGAACAAAGCTAACTCATCGGGAGATGAGTTCTCAAGAAGGGGAGTCTGATGTAGGCAAAGGGGGGGTAAAAACATTTTGAATTATAAATTTGGTGAGCTTCTAGGTCCTCTACTAGAATCAGCTCATTAATGTCTAGTATAGAGCCTTTTTAGCTCATAAATTGATGTTCATTACCCCCATTTGCTGTCCCTTTGGTTCCCGTGGTTGGCTCTTGGGTTTCCATGCCTTGGCTCCTTGGTTTCCACGGTTGGCTGTTTGTTTTCCGTGCTGGGTGGCCTTTCCGTGTCTTTGGTGCCTCGGTTTTGTGCGGGCCTCTTTGGTTCCTGCGGCTGCCTCTTTGGGTCCTTGGCTGGGCTGCTTCCCGTAGGTGTTGGGGGCTTTTCCGTGGCTTGTGGAGCTTGGGTTCCTGTGTAGATTTGGGGGGAAAACAATGAAGTGGCTATTGGCTTTTCATATTCCCTATTTAAATAAGCTTTTAAATTAATGAGGGGTTGTTTGTATTCCCTTTCTTACCTATAAATAGGAGTTGTTTGTGACTGTTTTAGCAAGTTTATAATGTGGTTTTTAGAGATAAAACCTTCGATTTTGTTGTTTGGAAAAGCTTGCAAGCTTTGTCCAAATTCCCTCTTTCCCTCTCTCTTTGAGAAAGCTTGCGAGCTTGTCTCCACTTCGTCTTGGCTTCTAACCTCTTTCGTATCTCCGCAAGTTCGACGCCACCTGTATCCTTCTTCTCAAAGAAATTCAACTTTAGGTGTTTGTCTTGTTTGAGTCATTTGTAAGTGTCTAAGTTTGTAAGTCTTTTATATTATGAAGAAAAGTTGTTGTTTTTAATTTATTCATCAATTTTGTGTCATTTTGTGTCTTTTCAATTACTTAGAAAATGTTTTCTTTTTGTGATAAAAATATTGGGGCCCTCTCCCAAATTTTTGATTGCATTAATTTGGTATCAGAGCAAGTTAGGAAGTCCTAGGTTTTTAAGTAAGTCAAAGTCTTGTTGTGTGAGTCGTGTGTGTCTTGATGTCATGTTAGTTATCATGTAAGTTTTGTTTTGAGTCATGTTGTCATTTGAGTCTTGGTGTCAAGTTAGCAATCTCAATCCTTGGTGTCTCTTGATGCAACGCCTTCAAAACAAAGCTAACTCATCGGGAGATGAGTTCTCAAGAAGGGGAGTCTGATGTAGGCAAAGGGGGGGTAAAAACATTTTGAATTATAAATTTGGTGAGCTTCTAGGTCCTCTACTAGAATCAGCTCATTAATGTCTAGTATAGAGCCTTTTTAGCTCATAAATTGATGTTCATTCCCCCCATTTGCTGTCCCTTTGGTTCTCGTGGTTGGCTCTTGGGTTTCCGTGCCTTGGCTCCTTGGTTTCCACGGTTGGCTGTTTGTTTTCCGTGCTGGGTGGCCTTTCCGTGTCTTTGGTGCCTCGGTTTTGTGCGGGCCTCTTTGGTTCCTGCGGCTGCCTCTTTGGGTCCTTGGCTGGGCTGCTTCCCGTAGGTGTTGGGGGCTTTTCCGTGGCTTGTGGAGCTTGGGTTCCTGTGTAGATTTGGGGGGAAAACAATGAAGTGGCTATTGGCTTTTCATATTCCCTATTTAAATAAGCTTTTAAATTAATGAGGGGTTGTTTGTATTCCCTTTCTTACCTATAAATAGGAGTTGTTTGTGACTGTTTTAGCAAGTTTATAATGTGGTTTTTAGAGATAAAACCTTCGATTTTGTTGTTTGGAAAAGCTTGCAAGCTTTGTCCAAATTCCCTCTTTCCCTCTCTCTTTGAGAAAGCTTGCGAGCTTGTCTCCACTTCGTCTTGGCTTCTAACCTCTTTCGTATCTCCGCAAGTTCGACGCCACCTGTATCCTTCTTCTCAAAGAAATTCAACTTTAGGTGTTTGTCTTGTTTGAGTCATTTGTAAGTGTCTAAGTTTGTAAGTCTTTTATATTATGAAGAAAAGTTGTTGTTTTTAATTTATTCGTCTATTTTGTGTCTTTTCTATTACTTAGAAAATGTTTCCTTTTTGTGATAAAAAATTTGGGGCCCTCTCCCAAATTTTTGATTGCATTAGATAGTCAAATGTAGATATATAGATTCTACATATTTGCAAGATCAAAAAGTCTTAAAAGATGCAATGACCGTAAATACACACCTCTGCAGTGACCTGTCTGGCCTCCACAAGATCAGCTTTGTTGCCAGCCAAAGCCATGACAGTGTTTATGTTACCTAAGGGAACCAATATAAAAATTCATCAGCAGTCAATAGTTGCACAACATCTTACAAAGATCGAGCATATGGGATATATGGTTGAGACATGAAAGGAAAACCAGAACAAAAACACTAAATTCTGCTACTTATGAACATCCAAGCACTATAGCTAAAGTGGAGTAAAATGAACGAGCAAGAACAAATGGTGCATTAATGTTACAGAACTTTCACAGTAAAAACATGCCAGCCACCAAGCCAGCCGTGAAAATGAATAATTACGGTTCAAGCTAACTCTACTTTTAAAGGAGAAAATCTTAAATAAAATAAAAAGGTAAAAGAAATACTTACAAAAATAGTTCAAAAAAGCAGGACAAAAAACAAAACAACATATCAAATGAGAAAAACAAACTGCAACAGTATTTCATCAATACGATGACTGCGCTTAAGCTGACAATCATAAAGTTTAACAGAAAAAGTGAAAAAATGGCAAAGAAGAAAGCCCATACCTTGGGCTTGGAGCTCTTGGACCCACTTCTTTGCGCGAGTGAAAGTGGCCTACCAAGTAACAAAAGAATCACATTAAAAAGCAGAGTATTTGAAGTTTTAATTTCCTCAGTAATGTAGTGGATTTAATGAGATCGCCTTCATATAAAATACAACAACAACATCAAGCCTTTATCCCACTACGTGTGGTCGGCTACATGAATCCTTTTTCTCCATTGTGTCATATTAAAAGTCAAATTCTAGTTTAAATCTAATAAAGAAAGGACATTCCTAATATTTTCTAACCAAGTCTTTTTAGGTCTGCCTCTACCTTTCTTAACATAAGCCAAATCTAATACCTCTACTCTGCTAACCGGGTCATCGGAAGGCCGCCATTTTATGTGACAAAACCATATAAGGCGACTCTCTCTAATCTTTATCTGGAGCTACTCCAACCTTTTCACGTATATGCTCATTTCGTATCCTAAAGATATGAGATCTCCTTCATATAAAATGAAAAAGGAAAAAAAAACACTCATGTACGATCCTCCAATGGACCAAGAAGTGCATCCCAACAAAGATATATACACGCATAAGAAACTTCACCATCCCAGCTCCCCCATCCCAGTTGGAGAATACCACTCAAATAATCAATATCAGTGTTTGGTATAACCCAAAACCAAATTTAAAGGATTTAATACAAATCCCATTTAACAAGTTCTACGCAAAAACTTATATCAATTTAGTTCAATCAAATAGTCAACTAACAATTTTTTACCAGTAATTTGTGCGTACTTCAGGGGGAGCACAGACTCAAGAAGAGAGTTTTAACATGGTCTAGATAGCTAAAATATCTTCTGTTCTAGAAGATTGCCAATCAAATTAAATGTATTAATCTAAACATTATTATCATCACTAGACTTATGCAACTATTTGAGAATTTTCAATCTTCATTCATTCCGGTTGAGTGTTGTATGAGATATTGAGATGTTAAGCCTATTTTATGCAAATCCTACAACATAACTTCAATTCATATTATCTTTAGTCTAACCTTTTTTTAAATTCTCAAACAATAATTTAATCTAACCAACTTACTATATATTTTTTTACCATTCATTGTACATTCTCACCTAGAGTCTAAAGGTTCTCGCTTGAGTAGATCTAAAACAGAATATATGGAGTGTAATTTTAGTAGTAATAGACCTAGTGAGGGGATTGTGACTTTGGGCGATCAAGTCATTAATAAGAGTACACGTTTTAGATATCTTGGATCTATTATTCAGAGTGATGGTGAAATAGATGGGAATATTATCAGCAGAAATCAAGTTGGATGGTTGAAGTGGAGGAATGCAACGGGCTTGTTATGTGATAGATAAAAAGACTTGGTTGGAAAATATTAGGAATGACCTTTCTTTATTAGATTTAAACGAGAGTTTGACTTTTAATAGGACACAATGGAGAAAAAGATTCATGTAGCCGACCCCACGTAGTGGGATAAAGGCTTGATGTTGTTGTTGTTATTGTATTGTACATTCTCACCTAAACTTATTTTCCACTATCTTATCTCCAATAAATATTACTATACACATTACACTGATAAAATAATTTCTCAATTTATCATTCAAAATTCTCCACATATCTAGCTCATTTTCATTTCTATCACTTCATCATAGAAAAAAACCCCATGAAATAGATTATAAATATGATATTTAAAGTTCAAAATTCATAGCAAAGCTTAAGAAAATCTGCTTATCATGAAAACAATATTCAACTGGTGCATTATAAAACAAATTAAGCAAGGGTGCCATCATCTAAATGCACTAGGATAGGTAAAGAAGATCAACTTCCCATAAAAACTGTCTTCGTTTAATGCATTAGAAAGCTAACTAAGCAAGAGTATCATCATTCAGACGACAGGATAGATAAGAAAATTATGAATAATATTGCTTTATTCAGCATAAGAAAATGAAGAAATATATGTGAAATTGAGGTCATCATTAAGTTTTCAAATTTCTGAATTTTAATGCAAAGAAAAAAAAAACAAAGTATATAATGTTTAAGAAATAAATGACTGATTAATTCTACAAGAAATTCTAAAAAGAAATAATGACTAGGCAAAGACAAGAAATAAAATTGATTATAGACTAAGCAAAACCTACTGAGAAACATCACAAGTAAAAAAAAATCTCAACGAAGTTATCAAAACCATTTCGAAAATCCTAAGCAGACAAGCCTCAAAACATATGGGCAACCAAAGAGGCCCATGGAAACTAAAATGAAAAATGATGCAATCAAGGATTTTCATTTCATATTTTGTATTTTATTTATGTTTTGGATGTTATGTATTTTTGGACTATGTTCTTTTTTATATGCCCTGTGATCAAAATCAACCCATGATCATGCTTGGGTTTGATGCTTTTAGGTATTTTCTCACCTTTGGCTTTCCACTCATGTTTAATTTGTTTACTTGCTTCCTTGATGGCTAAGTGTGCATTCCATATGCAATTCGGATTCATTGCTGGCTGTTTTTTCCCTGCAGATTTTGGTTTCATGTACTTGGAATTCCTGTTGCTTTCCCATGCAGTTTCTGTCTATTTTCTTAGGCTCTAATTTTCTGTTGCTGCCCTTTCCCCTTCCCCCTTTTGTTGATTCCTAGTCTAGTATTTTATCTTCTCAAGATGAGGCTTCAATTGGCTACTTGGGGTGGCACATTTATGCGGGCTGTTGGGTTTATTTTCTCCTATTAAAGGGGTTGTTTTGCTGCTGCAAAGGGGTGGTTATTGGCTGAAATCTAATCCAAACCTAAGGGTTTTCTTCCTAGCTTGAGAGCTATCTTCTTCCTACACCTATTTCTACTTCCCAATCTTCTATCTATTTCTTCTCTCCACGGTTACCCTTACACTTGTATCTTTCTTCTCCAAAATATTGTGAGTATAAGGTGTTGTTGAGCCTGTTTGTTGGTATTTGCTGGAGGAGTGACGGCTTGAGTTGGATCAAAAATTTTGTGGCCACCACTGGTTTGATTTTTCCTTTGAGCACCATTCTCTAATTTTCTTATTTGCAAGTAAGGTGACCTTTCTAAGTTGTTTTGAGGATTGTTTATTTTATGTTTTAGTTTGTTTCTTGCATTGTTTACTAATCATTTACTTATAAAATATACATGGTTTACTTATTTGAGCATGTACAGATGATAAGTAGTTCTATGTCCAAATTGTTCTGAGGGTTGTTTATTTTATGTTTTAGTTTGTTTTATTTTGTTGTTGATGGTTTATGCTTTATTGGAAGGAAGTGACTAGTTGTATTCATAGTGTTCTCCTACTTGGACATAGAACTTAGGTTACATCAAAAAACAAAGTGTCTGCCAAGACTGTGCTAATGAAGCTAGCAATCAAGCATACCTAACGTACTGCAAAGCTTGCAAAAATTATCTGTTAAGTTGGCAAAACTTACAGAACATGGCAAGCAAATGCTAAAGGTAGGATTTATTTCATCATACTCTCCATAGACATCTTGCACATACTAATGAATAGATTGGCCGCCAATTTCTAAACAATTTTATTCTTGCCCATGGAAAGGATACAGAATATTTATTGTTTGAAACTAAATTTTACACCATAAAAGTAGAATAATAAACTCTAAGCCATATATCTTACCGCATTCGTTACATCATACACAATTATAGCTGCTGCTGCACCCCGATAATACATTGGAGCTAAACTATGATATCTCTCCTGTCCAGCAGTATCCCAAATCTCAAATTTCACAGTTTCATCATTAACTGCCAAAGTTTGTGAAAAAAACGCTGCCCCAATTGTTGATTCCTACAAAGTCAGCAAATCAGTGTAAGTAACATAAATAAACCACCCAAAAACTTCAATTCCTTGTTAAGACACGAACGCCATTGTATACAAACCTGGAATTCAACAAATTGGCCTTTAACAAAACGCAATACTATACTCGACTTGCCTGTTCCAACATCTCCCAAAAGTACCTGTTATACCCAATCAAAGAAATTGTTACAGATCCGAGCAAGGAGTGGAATCAAAACGGTCATCTTTCTGCAACAGACCACAAACCATAGGGCAGAAAAAACTCTTCATTACAGAAATAAAAAAATCAGCTTACAACGAAAATGGTACTGTTCATAAAGATTCACACAAAATAATAAAAATAAACAAATAAATACAATCCTCAAAACAAACAAAAACCGGCAACCAGGCCGTATCTGGAAATTCCAGGAATCCCTCCTAATAATCAAAGAATTGATAGGGAAACAGAAGTTTGATTTTTATGCAAGTCGTAAAATCTTTAACGAAACGATCAACGACGGGCGTCAATACGATCGAATCGCACAAAAAGTCCAAAACCTTTTAAGGAAATTTTGCTTAAATCAATATCCATCAACATAAAGCACGAAAGGAATATCAAATATAATTCATCTAATGCAGGCAGGCAAGCAGCAGTTCAAATGCAAAAGCCACATAAAATCGGAAAACTTTCGAGAATATAAACAAACTATAAGAAATACCTAATATTAAACCAAAAACACTCACCAATTTGGCATTTTTCACCTTGTTTTCAACCGCGGACGCCATATCTCAACAATCTGAAGCTAGGAGAGAAAAAAGACCAAAACAACACCGAAATCGTTGGATGATTGGAAAAAAAGAGGAAGAGACAGCGGGAGATCGGGGGAGTCCTAGCTTGTTATTTTATAGCGGGATAGGGTTCTGGTATTCCTGCGGAGCAATGCAAAAAAAGCAAGTGGGCCGGACCCGACCCCGTCTCGACGTCAAGTAGACGGGGTCGGTGTTTTCCGGACGAGCATCGAATCTGAACCGTTCAAATGGGAGCGGAATACACGCGGTGTTAAATGGAGAAACGATTTGTCCCATTGGACGGGCGAGATTGGACCGCGAGCGGCGACTTCGCGGCTCTGCTACGATTTGTTGATGAATTAATTTTATTATTTTATTTGTTGACGCGTCCTTTTCTTGAAGCCTAGTCGTATTTGAATTTGATTAATTAATTATCTTTTTATTTATATATTTAGATTTTTTTGAGATAATTTTTTTTATTATTTTAATTTTATTTGGGATGAGTTTTTATTATTTTCTAAAAATAATTTTTTAGTTAAAATTTTTCTTCAATTAAAAATTTTTATACTAAAAAATTATTAAAGAAAGCAATGAAAAAGCTATCCCAAATAAAGCTTTTCTAACATATTAGCGGTCCAAAATTATCTCAAATGAAATATTAGATTGAGGCTTTGTTTATAGCAGCTTTCTTACTACTTTTTTAAAGAATTTTCTAATACAAAAATTTTTAGTTATTAAAATTTTTATACCTGATATATCATCAAAAATTATCTTGGTTGGACACGATTCTCAAGGCAATATCAAGTTGAAAAGTTCAAAAAATAAATCTAAGATCATATGAAATATGATTTCAGCAAACTTACAGTCGACTAAACGTCTCGAAAATATGAACTCAACGCACCAAAATCGACTCAATCAGAGTCCAAATCAAAGACCCGAAGCACATTTGGAAGGTTCAAACCATAAATTGGATAACCAAATGGTTTCAAAATGTGACATGCTTATAGTCAAATAGCACGGTTTGACGAGATGAATAAAACGAGCTCAAGATCATTATTTTTTGATATCATCATGACATTCAAATTCTTAGTACATGATACATGATTAAGGGGATCAATATCGGCCGTCCATTCAAACCACTCCCAGCTTGTCATTGATCTCCTCCTTATTTACTGGTCATGCCACTTTTAGAAAACTATTAATAGACCCCACAGTCTTCATTAATTTTGTACCAAAGAAAGAAAAGGAATGAATATAAGGAAGAGAGCTCTCTTGCCACCAGACTCCTCCTCGGCCACCACTGGACTTCCACCGTGCCGCCGACTGACACCAGACTTTTGCCTGGCCATCGATTGACTCTGAATTTACACTTGGCTGACAGCTGACGTCGGACTTCTTCCTGCCAACCGATTGACGCCAAAATTTTGCCCTACCACCAACTGACGACTGACTTCTTCCCGACTACCAATGAATGTTGGACTTCTACCCCGCCACCATCTACATTCCTTCCAACCTCCATCACCAAATAACAGTCCTTCCGACCTCTATCAACGGCCAACTACGATCCTTCCGACCTTCTTCGCCAGACAATGATCTTTCTGACCTCCGTCGTCTGAATATGATCCGTCTGACTTCCATCGCCGCCTTTCTCTCGAACTTTATTATCAATTCCATTTTATCTCTCCAACAAAAAGTAGGCCCCACTTGTACACTTATTTCGAAACCCTGTGTATTCTAAACTTTGTTCGCGAAGAACCGGACTTTTGATGGGCCAGCCCTTTTTTTATGCATCCTTGACCCAAAAATTAGCTTTTCTCTTCTGGGTGATGGGCTCTCCCATGGTTCGCGAGAAGGGGCTTGGGCTTTCTGGATTATTGAATTTTCTTATGGTAGAGAAGACTCTGGAGAGGCGTCATCCTTGACCCTTTGTCAAAACTAAGAACACTCTTTTCGTCATCCCACCCTGGCCTCCACCTCCTTGCTCTGGGTGGTGTGATCAACCCCCTGGTGGCGGAGCAATTTGGTATCGATAACACGGGGCTTGCTAAATAGGGGCAACAATCTTTCTAACCTCTATTGCCTGCAGACTACGGTCCTTTCAACCCCCGTCGTCTAAATATGATCCTTCTGATATCTGTCATCGGATAATTGTCTTTTCAACCTCTGTCACTTGTCGACTACGGTCTTCCAGATCTTCATTACTAGACAACAATCCTTTCAACCTCTATCACCAGGCCATGATCTTTCTGACCTCTGAAGCCCGTCAACTACGGTCCGTCCGGCCTTCATCACCATATAACGGTCCTTCCGACCTTTATCGCCCGCCAACTACTATCCTTCCGACTTCTGTCACCCGATTATGGTTTTCTTTTTTACCTCCGTGGCCCGCCAACTATGGTCTTGTCGACCAAACGAACATATCAATACTAATTCATCTAAATTCCACCATGTAATGCATTCTATATTATGTATTTTTGTTACATCAAGCCAAGGTCTTCCATCCAATGAAGGTCCTTATTTGTAATCAACAGCAAATACTAATGTATTCATTCAAACTGGGCTAGACCCTATAGTTTTTCCAATTTTCAGGGGTTTTCACATAAAAATATTATTCTCTTATAAATATTGCACCACCTTTTTTATCTGATTGTGTGTTGAATCTTCGTGCAAAACTAAGATGTTAAACTTTATATTTCTCTACCGCCACGAATATTCCAAGATGCAATAATACTAAAAAGTTTTTTTAGAATATAATAAGAAAGTTGTCTCAAATAAAGTCGAGGCTTAATTTTGAATTTAATTATAATGAGTTTATGCTGACTTAAGCTTCGTTTGGGATGACATTCTAACTACTTCTTAACTGCCCTAAAATCAAGAACACAGAGTCTTAGAAGATCTTCCAGTACCTGAATAGTCCTCTTAGATTGTTCATTTTTCTACTAATGAAAATCCATACTAATCTGCAATTTAGTAACTAATCACTATTAATTACCTCTCCATAACCTAAAGATAAACCGATCGATATAATATGATATGATCATTCTGGTACACTGTACAATTTGATAATATCTATGATATTTATCTATGCTAACCTATCTACCATATTAGTCTATCAGATTGTAATGAAATGCACAAAATTCATCAGCTGGTCGGCAATAACCCATATAATAGTATGCCCTTATCTAGATCTAGAAAAAACTCATAATAAAATCCATCATCACATCTTCTCATTTCCTCTATATAATAAGCAAGAATTGTAGAAGACCACATGGTCTTTGACGCTCTACTTTCACCAACTAACAGGCCTCATACTATGAAACAAACTTCGCTACATTATTGTTCAATCCAGGACACCAAAATATACTTTTTATAATTTCGTACATATTGCTACTTCGTGTATGAATAGTGAGCTCTAATAATGTGCTTAACGTAAAATCTTAACTTTTAACCCATCAATAGAAGAAACTCATAATCTATTCTTGCAAAAAATTATAACATAATCAGATAACAAAAGTCATGGTCTCTTAATAGACTCAATTTGACCACTCAATTTCTATATCTAACTTCTAAACTTTTCTAAATGTGTTCTTAAACTGAAGGCTAAATAATCAACTAAGCCGACCAACTGAAATTTTTATCAATGGATACCACCGATGTCTCAAACTTTTTTAAATACTAAATCAAAAAGTCTACAAAAGTGAGCTACGAAAGAGAAGTACATGAAAACTTCATACTCAAAGCATCTGTCATCATATTTGCCTTAGTAGAATGATACTAAACAGATATATCATAATCCTTAATCAGCTCAAGCCATCTTGTATTTCCCTTAGATCATTTTGAATAAAAATATATCTTAAACTCTAATGATCTGTAAAAGTATCACATCTAACTTTGTACAAATAATTCCTCAAAATCTTCAAAGCAAATACAACAATAGCTAACGCTATATCATATGTTGGAGTTTGTCTCATATGGTTTCAACTACAACGATACATACATAATAACTTTATTATACTACATATGTACACATCCCAATCCTTTTAGTGAATCATCATTAAAAACTTGAAACCTATTTGTACCCAAAGGAATAGTTATTATATAAGCAAAATTTAAATATTCCTTCAACATCTAAAAACTCTCTTCAAGCTCTGGAGCCCATATAAAAGTTACTAACTTTTGAGTCAATCTCGCTAATGTAGAAGAAATCCACGAAAATTCCTGAACATGCTACCGATAGTAACCAACCAAGCCTAAGAAATTATGAACTTCCAAAATTGTAGTAGGCCTCAACCAAACAAAAATAGCCTGAACCTTTTGAGGATCAACTAATATACTTGCATTGCTTACTATTTGCCTAAAAATTGAAATGTTATTTAACCAAAACTCTCACTTTGAGAACTTAATATATAATTAATGTTGGCTCATAATCTTTATAGTAGTCCTCAAATGTGCTGCATGGTCATCATCAAATCTATAATACATCATAATTTTATCTATAAATTTTTTTTTACAAACTGGTCCAAATACTTCATGAAAATTTTATTCATTAAATCTATGAAGACCATTGGTGCATTAATCTCTCCAAATGACATGAATAAAAACTTATTTTTCACATACCTTATTTTAAATGTAGTATTTGCCACATCATCATATATCACCTTTAACTGATGATATCTAGATCGCATATTAATCTTAGAAAATGCTAAAAATCCAGCTAGCTGATCAAACAAGTCATCAATCCAAGGTAATGGACACTTATTTTTTGTTGTTATTTTATTCAAATATATACGATCGATATACATCCATAAGGTACAATCCTTCTTCTTTACAAACAATATAAATGCTCCCCACGAAGACATACTAGAACAGACAAAACCTCGATCCACCAAATCTTAAAGGTATACCTTCAACTCTTAAAGTTCCTTAGGTGACATTCAATACATAGCCTTGGAGATATGAGTAATACCCTAAAAAGTATTTATACATAAATCAACTTCTCTATAAAGTGGTAAAGTCACCAACTCCTCAAGGAAGACATATTGAAACTCTTCACTTTCTTCTTCAGATAATTGATATAAGCCTAATAGTGTCTCATCTAGTTCATAC